TGCGAATGATTGACATATCCCAGAAAGCTAAACAAGAATGAGTTTACGTTCCGAATCTCTTTTGTACAAAATCACGAACGCTTAATTCGATTGATGATCTTGTCTATCGCTTTAAGTTCAGAACTTCAGATGATTTGAATAGCCGTTGACGATATTTATCTACGCACCAAAATGAAACTGTGTCTTTAGGCCTCGCGGATCTTCGTAGGAAACAAAGGAAAGATTGTCAGAAGATTTTCTGTTTTGATTGTCAGAAAATGAAATAGGCAGAGCTGTTGCCCAATGGCTGTACTTCACCATCTAGTTGCCCTTTGTCAACAAATCATCCATGGAACTGTCAAATTATCTTTTCATGCAACTCGGCATTCTTATTAATAGGTGCTTCTGTAAGCATTTAAGATTCTAATTAGCTACCAAATTAAAGTCCAAAATGGAAGAAAAAAAATATTCTATTTATAATTTTTTTTCGCAAGTGATTATCCAAAAATGTAATTTATTATAATGTATCTTTTTATATTAATTGTATGTATTTATACATTAGTTGGAAATTCGGCATTGTACACATTACCGAAAAGAGCAAATGATTAAACGTATATCACATTGCCTGGGCACTGCATACAATGACAAATAGCAAACGAGAAAAGTATGAAATATGATAATTTAATTATTTATTAATTAACATTATTATTATATATTAGAATTAGTTGAAAACAATTTCTTGCTGTGACAAATAAATTCATATTTTATTTTATTCTTTTAACAAGTAAGGCATGAATTTTTAGTAATCGCTATGGATTAATATTTTATAATTTTATAATCGTCGTTGAACAACTGACCCAATTTTGAATTTACGACTACTAATGTTTCCGTAGCCTTGTAATTTTGAACTCAATCCTAAAGACAAGGGAACTCTTGGATCAAGTATTGGGAGAAATTTGCCTTCGTGCAGGACTTTTCGATGGAACTAACCCGCATTTGCGTTACACGGCGAGGCGGACCACAAGGAACTCCCACGGTTAGCCTGGCGGCAAAGGGACTTTAGCCCATGATCCAATGATTGATTTAACAATGGAATAAAAGTCTCTCTCGATTAAAGAGCCGTTTGGTTCCAGCAATTGTTAGTTTTGCCTTTGCACTATAGCAATGATTAATTTAACAATTGAATAAATACCATATCGATAATAAAAATTTTGATTTCAGCAATGATTAGTTTCGCCTTTGCACTTCAGCAGAGCTCATTCTAGGCAAAAAAAAAGGGCAGGGTGCAAAAGTTTAAAAAAAGGGCATTATTATTCTAAAAAGGCAATAATTTCGCTCCAGGGGCTTTACACGTTTTATTAAAAAACATTGTCTATTAGTAAAAGAAAATTTTTTTTACTTTACTAAAAGTAGCAAAGCAATCATATTAATTACTAATTTTCATTAATAAATTAACATATGTATCAAGCTAATTAGCTTGGTAATTTATTTAAAATGCATGTATATATTAATAAAATAATAAATGTATGTTTTTAAGTGTCTGTAGTTATGATTTAATAATTAAAATGATTAATAATAATTATGATTTAATGATAGTGAAAGTAACTGCAAACTTTCAAAGACAAGTGCAACAAGGGGGTTTGTTGGCTATTTTTCCTTTCTCATATAAATCTTTGTATTGACAGCAATGACAAACTAAATAAAAAGAGTTAAAAATAAAAGTTTGAGAAATCCACTGTAGAGTTTGGGGAAAAAATAAAGAGTTGAGGAAAGAAAGAGCAAAAAGGGTATGGAGTCTTAATACATCAGGACACTAATTTACTTCAGGGGCAACAGGGTGGATTCTTTTGACTAAAAGGGCAGTAGGGTGCTGCGCCCTGTTTACCCTGCCTAGAATGAGCTCTG